ACTCACCTCAGCCTCCCAAAGGCGCGGGATTACAGGCTGAGCCACCGAGCCCAGCAATTTGTCATTCTTTTTTTTTTTTTGAGTTATAGTCTCACTCTGTTGCCCAGACTGGAGTGCAGTGGCCGCTCCCGGCCACCGCAGCCTCGACCTGCTGGGCTCTGGCGATCCTTCCGCCTCAGCCTTCCGAGTAGCTGGAATTACAGGCATGCGCTACCACGCCCGGCTGATTTTTTGATTTACTGTAGAGATGAGGTCTTGCTGTCCAGGCAGGTCTCGAACCACGGGCTCAGGCAATCCACTCACCTCAGCCTCCCAAAGGCGCAGGATTACAGGCTGAGCCACCGAGTCCGGCAGGAAGACGGATTATTGGGCATCTAGGCAGCTTGCTCGAATGCCAGCAGTGGCAGCAATGGTCCAGGCAGGTGGGCAGATTCATGGGCCCCTGGGTAGCAGATGTGGCATGGATGATGACAGCAGCAGTGGTGAGACAACCCTCTGCGCGGGTGTTGGTGTTGGCTGTGACAGGCTGGGAAGGCCAGTCCTTGAGTCCACAGGTGGTATGTGTGGGTGGGTGCCAGCTGGTGGTGGTAGTGGCAGATGGGGCGGGGCCTGACTTCAGGCTCCAGGAGGAGTGCCAGCAGAGGTGGATGGGGTGGAACGACTCCCAGGCCTCTCATCAGTGTGCTCAGGCGCTGCTGGAGGAGAGCCAGGCTGGGTGGGCCTGTTCTCAGGTCCTCTAGTGGTGCATCCAGGTGCCGGCTGGGGTGGGCAAGGGCAGGGCGACCCCCTGAACCCTGGCAGAGTGTTTTGGTGAGGGTGGCAGCAGTGCTGGTGGGTGGTGGGAGTGTGCCCTCAGGGCTTGTGCAGCCTTAGGAAGGGCAGGGTTGTACCCCGTGGCAGTGGCCTGGGAGTCTGTGTGTCGGGCCAGGTATCAGCAGCCAGCAACGGGAGAAGTTGTGGGAGGGGGAGCCCACCCTCAGGACATGTGTAAAGCAGGGCAGCCCCGCTGCTGGGAGTGGCACCGTCTCTGGCAGTGGCTTGTGCTGTGGCACTTGGTGAAGGCCACTGGCTGTGGCAGTGGCTCCAGGCAGAGGAGCCTTCCCAGGGTGTGGGAAATGTGTGATGGCCCTGCTCCTAGGGGTGTGGGGTCCTGGCAACCACAGCCAGCATGGCAGTGGCTGTAGGTGGGAATGTCAGTGGGGTTATGGGAACTGTTGGGTAGGATGCAGTCTGGTAGGGGCTGGGCTCTCAAAATGGTACCCTCTTGGGGCTGCCTGGGATGCAGCAGGAGTGCCCTCGCTGGAGCAATGCCTTCCTCAGTCCCGGGAAGCTCCTTGTGTTTGTTTCAGGGCCCCTGAGGGTCAAGGGCCTTTCCTGTGGCTAAGATTGCAGGAGGCCACAGTGGGGATGTGGGCTTACTTACTTACTCTTTCCCCACACTGGGGAGCCTCTCTGGGCTCCCAGTTGATCTCAGCAGGGCAGGCCAAGTCACTTCCCTTTCCTTCCCGGCCCTCAGGGTTTCGTGTCACTCCTCTGTTGAGTTCCCAGTGTTCTCCCTTAGATGATCAATGCCAAGTGTGATCATCCACTTACTGTTCTGATTCTTCCTTGTGGAGGAGACAAGTGCTGGGTCCTCTCTACTCTGGCATCTGGAAGCTTTCCGAAATGGTCTTCTCCCCATTTTGATTTTAAAATACAGAGGTGCCCAAAAAATGTGTACACATTTTAAGAGATGTTATCTATGTATTACTTTTTGAAGTTGAATTAAATTACAGTAGCAATGTGTAGTATGAAGTTCACTCAACTGTACTTCCACCATTTTCTTTGCCTGTCCTGCCTGTCACATCATGATGCCAGCATTCATTGAATTAAACCATCTTTTAAGTGAATGTCATACTTAAAATGTATATACATTTTTTTTGGCACCCAGTATATTGCTAAAGAAATCACAAACAGTATAAAGCTGAATGTGGAAATATGAACATCAATTAAAATAGAACTCAGACTGACAGGCTTTGGTAGGAAATATGGGGATATTTTAGACTGATAAAAGTGGCCTCTGAGACACATATAAGCAAAAATGTGCTAAATACTCAAGAATCTAATAAAGCCATATTTTCCCTTCAGAAATCAAGAGTTTAGGTAGAGGACAAAAATAAGTAAGGAAAAAAAGTCGCACCTGAGTATCCCCGGGCATGATTTCAGCTTAACTCACACATTGCAGCTGCTCAGAAAGTCTAAGTGCCCCCAGGGGTGATGGGCCCCTCGAAAGGGGGTGCCCAGGACTTGGCTGATGGGGCATATGGAAAGATGGCAATTTAGTGAGAAGTGGGAAAAACTGAGGGGTCAGGAAGGGTGTCCACATGTTTCCTTCCCCAGTGATTCAGCACAAAGACTCCAAGAACTCATAACAGCCATTATACTCACAGTTGTGGTTTAGGACTAGAAAACATACAGATTAAAATCAGCAAAGGTAAAAACTGGTGCCTAGGGCAGAATTCAGGAGAGACCTGGTAAGAGCCAATCACCCCCACCCCCACCCCCAATGCCCCAGGCTGACCAGCTCACCTTTCTTGCCTACACAACCTCTGTGAAGCCCCCCTGATCCCAAGAGCTGGGGCCATGGCTGCCTCCTGGCAAGCAGGGAGGATGGACACCAATCAAAGCAACTGCTCTTGACATGTTCAGAGAAGACAGCAGGGGCGTCAGCTTCTCCTGCGAGAACCCGGGGTTTCCTCCAACTGCTTCACCCCTTGAATAAGGTGTTTCCTGCTCAAGACCTGCAGAGCCGCAGGTGGAAAGGTGAGTGGCTCAGGGGAAGGGGGAGTGTGCTTGGCAAAGGCTGCCTCCAGGCCATGGGGTCTGCAGCCCCACCACCCTGTTTGTCCTTCTGTCCCAGGGGTACCAGGCACCAAAGCAGAGCTTGACACAGATTTCTCCGGCTTTGCCACCTGAGGGGCCTTGGGCAGGTCACCCCATGCTCCAGTCTCAGCTCCTCTGCTGTACAAAGGGGATCATAACTCCTGGGGATCAGGGGAGGGTGTGTCATAAAACCAGTTGGCCTAGTGTCAGGTACACAGCAAGTGCCCAAGAAATGGTGGCAGATGTCAGTGCTGTGATTCCAGGGTAATGACAGAGTGGGAAGGCCCCAAGGGTCCAGTTGAGGATCCCAGACCATATAGGACACCAGGGTCCCCATACCCAGGAGTAGACTCCAACCTCAGACTCCAACCCAAGATCCAGGACAAGAAGTGGAGGTGTCAGCCCCACCCAGAGAGGCCCAGGAGCCCGGGCTGTAACTGCCGTTACCTTCCCACTTCCTGGACTGTCTGGGGACTCTGACCCCAAGAGTCATTCCAGAAGTGTGGGTCTCAGGCGCCATGGAGCGGGTCCTCACTGCTGTCCTGCTGTCCCTCCTCCCGGGAGCCCTTCAGGGGAGCGAGAGCCCCCCAGCTCTCTTGTCGATTCTTCCCCCAACAGGTGCCAGCGGGATGAGCCTGGATTCAGGTAGGAAAACAGTGGGGGTGGGGCAGCAGCAGCTGCGGAGGGGATAAAGAGAGCCTGGGCTTGGGGACAGAGGAAGTGGGGGTGACATCCCTGCCCTACCACCTCGCCCCAGGGCAGGTCCTCTAAGAAGCCCAGGCAGCCAGGCCTTCACTCACACCCCAGACCCTGGTGCCTTCAGGACATCTGGTGACCATGACAAAGGAGGGTGGGTCTCAGGACAGAGGGGAGTGCAGGGGGCCTTGTATGACCAGGGCCCACAACCCACGCAGTGTGTGGACGTTCACACGTGTCTGGCCGCATCGTGTCTGGCCAGGATGCCCAGCTGGGTGAGTGGCCATGGCAGGTCAGCCTGAGGGAGGCTGGCGAGCATGTGTGTGGGGGATCCCTGATCGCCAAGGACTGGGTGCTGACCGCAGCCCACTGCTTCAGCCGGTGAGTGTGGACCCCGGGCAAACCTGGGCAGTTTCGGCGACCTTCACCTTCCCTGCAGTCTCCACTCCCCATTAGAGTTGTGGCCTCTCCCACCTAGGCAGGAGAGGCAGGGGCTATCTCCTGGATGGTGCTTATTCACCCATGATGGCCCATCCTGGGCTGGGCACGGGGATAGTGTGGGCTGGAGACAGACCCACCCCGGCTGCCCACTGCCCACCTCCCAAAAGAAGGTTCATTCCCTAGAGTCTGATGGTTTCCCCTGTATCCCAACATCCCTTGAGAATCCGAGGTCTCCCCCACCCCGCTCACTAACCTGTGACCTCTTGACAAGTGACCTCCCCTTCCTGGTTGTGGCCACACCTGCCCAGAGGAGGGAGGAGAAGCCTTGCAGGTCTGCATGGATGATGAACAGGATGGTGACGTTGATGCTGAGGGCTCAGCTCTCCACAGAGCCTGCCCGTGATGCTAGGGCCCCCACGTAAAGACAGATCTTTGTCCCCACTATGGGACCTGAGCTCAGCCTTCACTGCCCACCTTCCCTGTCCCAGGAACCAGCCCCTGTCTGTCTATACCGTACTACTGGGCTCCATCTCCTCCTACCCCAAGCCCGGAGAGCCCGGGGAGCTCCGGGATGTGGCCCAGTTCATCGTGTACCCAAGCTACTCGGAGGAGACTGGCAGCGGGGACATTGCCCTGGTGCAGCTGGCCTCGTCTGTCACTTTCAGCGACCTCATCCTTCCAGTCTGCCTCCCCAAACCTGGAGACCCCCTGGGGCCCGACACCTGGTGCTGGGTCACTGGCTGGGGGCATGTTGGCACCAATCAAGGTGAGGATGTCCCGAGTGGCAGCAGGGTGGGGAGGATGGGGTGAACAGCCGGGCCAACCTGACATCACGCAGGCACCTGCCCTGCCACCCTCACATGGGTCCAACATGGAGCCCACACAGGCTGCTGGGACCGCATCAGGTGAGCTGTTGGAATCCTGCAGGGCTAATGCATGAGCAGCCTCCACCCAGACTCCCCTGTGGCCGTACACCCCGTCCTCCCAGCAGCCCATAACCAAAGAATAGCGGGACCCAGCAGAACCCCTCGGGACGCTGGCCCATCCTGGGCCCAAATCCATTCTTGTAGGCAGTGCCTGTGCCACATCTCCTCTGGCCTCATGGGTCTATGGTTCCAGAGCCTACAGGGACCCAATCTCGGTGGGTGACGGCCACCAGCCTCCTGGGTCCTGGCTTCCTGCTCTGGCAAGTGGCGTCTCAAGACGCTGGCCTGGTGGGGTGATGCAGGGGCTCATGCATGAGGCACTTAGGGCATCTCACGGGCTGGGTGAGACTGAGGTCTCCACAAAGATCAGCCACTGCCACTGCCATCATAACCATCAGCATGCTGGTGATGTCACCTCAGATGCATCCCCTGGGGCTGCCATCACAAATGACCACAAATGTGGGGCTTAGAACCACAGAAATGCATTCTCACACAGTCCTGGAGGCCAGAAGTCTGGAATGCAGGTGTTGTCTGAGCCTGGCTCCCTCCAGAGGCTCTTGAGGAGGAATCCTCCTGGCTATGCTTGGCGTTCTTTGCCTTGTGGCTGCCTCATTCCAGTCTCTGCCCCTGTCTTTACTCGGCCTCGTCCCTAGGTGTGTCTTCCTGGGTCTTCTCTTCTGTCTCTCATGAACGCCGTCACCCCACTGCTCCAAGGCCTCATCTTAACTAACTTTACCTGCAAAGCCTCTATTTCCGGATAGAGGCACATCTGGTGCACTCCACACTACTAATCCCTTTAGACCTGAAACTGGTATAGCCAACAAGAGCAGGAACACAGCGTGGAAGTGACGTGGACACAGTCCTGGCCTGAAGCCAGGTCTCAGCTCTTGCGCCCATGTCCTGGTGTTTCCCTGCCACCAACTTCCTGCATTCTGGGAGGTAAACTGGGACTCACAGAGTCTCACACGCCTGTGCATGCCCCATGAGGAGGAAGGACTAGGTCTTCTGAGTGCTCCGAATGTTAAGACCAATCAATGTCCCTCCTCTAGAGCTGGGATTCGGCATCTGCAACATGGGGTAACAAGCCTCACCTGTGTCCTTGCCCTCATGGGGTTTCATGAGTACAAGCGCAGGCTCCTTCAGAAGCGTAGCCTCTTGTCTTGGGGTCATTTGTGTGGGTCGTGGAGCCAGCAGGCAGGGGCTCCCCTGAGCTCTTCTCTCTCCTCCAGCGCTCCCACCTCCCTTCACCCTGAAGGGCGTGGAGTTGCCCCTCATTGATGCCCAGACCTGCGACGCCTACTACCATGAGGGTACTGGCATCCCCAGCCTGGAGCCCGTCATCTTTGATGACATGCTCTGTGCAGGCTTTGAGAACGGCCAGAAGGACGCCTGCCAGGTAAGCAGGCCAGGCCCAGACTCCCCAGCACCCCTGGGCTCCACTCCCGTCACCACAGGGAACCTCCCACCCCAGAGAATGACACACTTTTTAAAAAATACAAGAGTCCATTCAAAAGGGGAAAAAAAATATTCCTGGACCCTGTGTCCCTTTCAAATATGAAGTAAATATCGTCAGAACGTGGAATGTCTGCAGCTGTGATCAGATCTCACTCCTAAAGCTTTTCCTTTTGGCCAGAATTTTGTTTCTTTCCAAAACGAAAATACTCAGAGTCTGGGAGTGCGTTTTGTCAAAGTGTAGTCACTTCTGAGCTTGGAGGTTCTGTCTTTCTCCTCTGCTCTCACAAGCACCCGGATTACCAACACCTGCTTATTGTTTTGGCTCAAACAAGAGATTTTTTCTTCACACAAATGAGGCAAACAGTGACATTATCAACACAGAAGTGCTCCTCCCATCCCGCCTCCGAAAACACTGCTTCCTAAGTGCTTTCCTGGCCGTGGCAGAAGCTTACCTTTTATCTAGGGATATGTGCTCCCATCACACATGCCCCTTTATCTTCACCCCAGGCCAGCTGCCCCATCACTTCCAGGAGCATCCCTGTAGCCCTGGCCAGGAGGTTGGTGGGACCGGGAGGGGGTACAGTAGAGACCCCCGGCTCCCACCTGTGGAAGAAGGACGGCCGGTTGGGGCAGCCCTGATCCCCTGCAATGCTACAGGTTGAATCCCTTCTTTGTTCCCAGGGTGACTCCGGAGGCCCACTGGTCTGTGATACTGGTGGTGTCTGGACCCAGGCAGGGGTGGTGAGTTGGGGATCCTACTGCGGCCTCCCCAGGAAGCCAGGTGTGTACACCAATGTCACCGTCTACGCCATGTGGATTGTTCGCACAGTGTGGAATCAAGACTCTAACAGAAGTTCCTTTCCAAGCCTTGCAGGGACCTTTTTCTCTGACCTGTCGCTGCTTCTGGGCCTACTGGGTGGGATCCTGGTCTCCCTGGGGCTTGCATAGGGGGTATCCCATTATCTCAGTCCCCCATTTTAACCCATGCCTGCTCTCTGCTCCCAGCCTGGAGTGGCTCCTTGAAAGAACTCCCTGCCCATATTCCCCTGCGAGCTGTCCACTGCCACCTCCCCCCAATGCCCGGTCCTCTGGGGACCTTCTATGTCCCTCCCCCTGACAAAGCCCCCCAACCCCACAGTGCTCCCTCTTCAGTCCTTTGTGGCCCTCAGCCCAATCCTGGGCTCTCATGTGTCTTCCGTGGTCCTATGCTGCCCCCACCCTCTCTGCCAGCCTTTAACTCCCGGGCATAGAGCCTGGCGTCTTGGCCTCCACCCCCTTCCCCACCCAGGCTGAGCCTTGGCAGGGGACTCGGGATTCTGTAGTGATTTCAGACACTGTTGGAATTTCTAGCACTGTTGGAGTCAGGGTTTTCTGCTCCCAGAGCTGCACTGATTCTTGTACTGCGGTATCTGCCTGCAAGGCAATAAAGACTGAAACTGGCAGGATGCTTCCTCCTACAGGGTGGGTCCTCTCTGTATCTACAGGCCACAGCTTCCTCCAGGGCCAAGGTGGGCATCCACAAAAGTCTCCCAGGTATGGGGACTTGGCTCACAGAGGATGCCCAGATGTGCACAGCAGCCCTCGAGGTGCACGTGGACATGAGCCCCTTTTCAGACAGGGAGACAGAGGGCTGGGGGCTCCAGGACAAGGGCAAGCCCACTCTCCCCAGTAGACTGATTCTGGGCTCATGGGCAGCACAGCAGCACGTCCTGGCAGCCCTAAAGCCATTAGCAAGACTGAGAGATAATACCAGGGTCACGAGCAGGGCAGGGGTAAATTCCAGGGTCATGGGTAGGGCTGAAGTCCTGGGGTCATTGGTTGGGCAGGTGAATTCGAAGGTCCTGGGAGGCCTGAGGGTCAGCTCCATGCTATCTTGGACAGGCCAGTGAGATGGCAGCTTGATCCCCGGGCAGGAAGGGCTCAGACTTGGGGCCAGCCTCTCTCTGCCCCACTTCCCCCAAGCCCAGTTTCTCCAGTGAATCCTGGGGCCAGTTGAAGCCATGTGAGGAGGCAGCTGAGGATGGGAGCCCAGGGCTGGGACCCCAAGCAGGGGTGGGGCTGTGAGTGGGGACCCGACAGGAGGTCATGAGCAAGAGAGCAGGAGGTGGGGAGGGCAGACTGAGACCCCTTGGGTGGGAACCTCGACCTTCATCCCAGGACACCCCTCCAGTCCAAGGTTGAACCTTTCCAAGACTCCCATGGCCCTTGGAGTCATAAGTTCCCTCTGCCCCAGGTCACATGCCGAGGACCCTTCCACTCATAGCCCTCATTCAGCTTCACATTGGCTCTCCAGGGATGTCTGTCCCCTAGGACTGGTCAGCGTTGGAGGGAGGAGCCCAGGTTCTTGGGCCTGGCTGGGCTGAGGATGCTGTGGGGCAGGAGGTTAGGGCTGTGGCAGAGGATGACCATGGGCCCCAGCACCTGGCGTCAGGGCGGGGTCCCTCCCTCATGGAGGTATCGGAGGAGAAGTGCCCACACCGTCTCCAGGATCAACCATCAGGCGCTGGACTCCAGCTATGGGCCAAAGACACTGCATGGTCACCATGCCCCAGGCCCCCTCTATCACTTGCAGCTGACACGTGCTAGCCAGGTCAAGGAGAGGGTCACTGCCAGGGGTGCATCAGGGAGTAGTGTGAGCCCCTCTGCCCTCTACCATGAAGACCCTCCTGTGCTGAGGACCATGGACATGAGCTCCAACTCTGTGGCCCACCTCCTTCAGGCTCCTCCCCCTACAGCACTTCTGGGGCATCCAGGTGTGACAGAGGGGACATGGGAAGGAGGGAGAACCTGCTAGCCCCCACATACCTGGAGGGCCCCGATAAGCACCAAGGGACTTCCTGAGCCTTGCACGCTGGCTTCCAAAGAGTTGAGAATCCCCAAGGAGCATTCCCTGAGTAATGCCCACAGTCAAGGCCACTGCTGGGATTGTCCCATCGATCTGTCCCTGAGCCAGAGCCCCTCACACCGGGGACACTCTGCCAGCCTCCATGCCACCTCGTCTTCTTCATTACCCCTCTGCCCCTCCCTCTCTTGGTCCTCCATAACTCTCCAGTCCCACAAATAGCCACCAAGCATGTCACGCACAGTCCCAGGAGGCAGCCGATGACCACATGCACAAATACACACAGGGCCATTTTGGGCATTGCTAAGCTCTAGGAAGAAAACAGAACAGTGCAATGAGATGGATGGTCAGTGGAGGCCTAAGGGACTGCTTTTGATGAAAGAACAGAGAAAGCCAAGTCAAGAAGGTAACGGAACCCTAGAGCTCCAAATGCCCGGAGGAAGCCAGCTACCTGCTACTGGGAGTGGAGTCTGCAGGGAGAGGCCACCCTGAGGCTGAACCAGCTTGGAGTCCTCAGGATAGCAGAGCCAGACTGGGACTAGAAGTGGTCAGAGGCAGGACAGAGCTAGGCTGGAAGGGGCTCCAGGGCAGTGGGGAACCCTGAGGGCTTAAGGCAGGACCTGCGGCTGAAGGAAGCCTGAGCTGAAGTTGAGTGGGAACTCCCTGGGCACTCCCCCCAGCACTGGGAGGCAGTTGTTGGCCCTGCATCTTGGGCAAGGAGTCACGCATGTCCTGGACAGCAGGGAGTGCGCAGGAGACTGGCAGGACATGGAAAGGTTATACTTTTAGGGAAATACTCCCTTGTTTTCTAGGTGGCCTGGCCCCCATCCAGCCCCGGCTTCCCATGAGGATTCATTTGGACCCTGAGTCCAGACCTTTGCCCACTACCCACTTCTGCAGAGGACCTGGGTGGGGAGGGGGTGCACCAGTGTGAAGGTCAAGGAGTCAGGGTAGTAGGCCGACACCTGGAGAAGTTTCTGTGGCTCCTTCTCCTGCTGTCCCACCAGTGTCTCCTTCAATGTGCCCTGGATCAGGAGACCACCAGGAATCACCCCCACCCCAGGAGGGACGGGGCTCGGCCTGTTCCTTCCTTACCACCAGGCCACCACTGAGTGGACATGTGGGTGCTCCTGCCAGTTCTGCTGGCTCCCCTGCCCCGAGGGAGGCCCTAAAGGCAGTGCTGGCAGCTCATCACTGCACAACCCCACCACGGCCCTGCTGGCGTTCAGGACACACAGGGGCACCTGGCGGGCACAGCCCTGCATGCAGGACCCCTCCAGAGAGTGACGGGCCACCGGGACACCAGGTGAACCTCCTAGTGGTGTCTCTATCTCCCTTTCTGCCCACTTCCCTCCCCACTCTGGGACCCTGGACGATGAAGTGTGTCAAAGGCAGATCCCACTTTCTTTCTTTCTTTCTTTCTTTCTTTTTGAGTTGGAGTCTCACTCTGTCGCCCAGACTGGAGTGCAGTGGCTGCTCCCGGCCACAGCCTCGACCTGCTGGGCTCCGGCGATCCTTCCGCCTCAGCCTTCCAAGTAGCTGGAACTACAGGCACGCGCTACCACGCCCGGCTAATTTTCGATTT